GTGTATGTCATGTTTTTATCTATTTCCAAAAATAAATAATGAAAAAATGCTATAACACGAATCGCCTTTTTGAACGATGAAAATCTGTCTATTATATCTTCGTTCACGGATACATGAAATACTTTAATGTCTTTTTTTCACTTCAGAATCAACATCAAGATTCACTTCTTGAAAGTTATTTTCGTTTTCCAACAACCATTTCGGACCGTGCCACCACATTTCATTATTTATAATTTGACTTGGCAACAAACCACGTGAAACAAAATCAGCTGGATTCTCTTTCGTTCCGATCCAAAACCATTCACTTGGCTCGCTGACTTCTCGAATTTCATTCACTCTATTTGCAACAAACTGCTTGTATTTTTTCTTCGTTGATTTAATCCAAGCAATAGTGATTTCAGAATCAGAATAATATTTTGTTGCAGCTATATTTATTTTTAAAGACTTTTTCACCTCTGTCATCAACTTTGTCAATAGATGTGCTGCACAAAGCTCCAGTTTTGGCAATGTCACTGTTTTGTTTATCGGTGCAATTCGCGATTTCGATGCAATAATATTTACGTAAACTTTATTTTCTAAATACACTTTGATGTAAATCGCTGGACCGTATGCTTTTCCTGACGCATCAGCAAAACCATGCAATTCGACCCTGCAATTCGGTCTATATTTTATCCATCGATCGATCTGCAATTTAGTTACAATATGCAATTCATCTCGTATTTGTCTCCATTGTTTACAAATATGATCTGCAACAATGTCATCCCAATCACAACCTTCTTCCAAATGGATTGCATAATTATTTTGCTAGCAACAATTACTGGTGACAATAAGCCGATTGGGTCATACATCCTCGAAATTTCAGATAAAATTTGTCGTTTTGTATAATGTTGTAATGGATTCTTGAGTCTAACAACAAAACTGACCTTATCATCTTTGCAGTTCCAGCTCATACCCAAAGTCGAAATCGATGACTCATTGTCTACATCGAAATTTAATGGTGCGCCTTCGCGATGCTCCAAAGGAATTTTATTCAAAAATTCCAAATTATTTGTTGCCCATTTTCGTAATGGCATTCCAGCTTCAGCTAAAATTGCAGTAATCTCTCTCTGTAATCTTATCGCTGTGTTTACATCATCGCAACCCGAAGACACGTCATCCATATATGAATCTTTGATTATTTTTTTCACATGCCTCGGGAAAATCATTCATTCTACTTTCAGCATGATATTTTACCACCGCTGTGGCTAAAAACGGAGCTGGGCTCGTGCCATATGTAATCGTTGTCAATCGATATTCTTTGATGTCTTCGTTTTCATTCCATCGCCACAATATTTTTTGATAATCGCACTGACTCTCATCCATCCAAATCTGTCGATACATTTTAGCAATGTCCGCGGTGAAAGCAATTCTATGAATTCGAAATCGTAACATTATATTAAATAAATTTTCTTGCAATTTGGGACCAACCAATAGCTTATCATTTAATGAAATTCCTGTGCTAGTTGGTCGACTTGCATCAAAAACTGTTCGTAGCTTGGTCGTTGTGCTGTCTTTAAAAACAGCATGATGTGGTAAATAAAAAGACTCAGATTCTAAAGTTGGCTCACACAATTTCATGTGGCCCTATTTCAAATATTCATTGATAAATTCAAAATATAATTTTTTAAAAACATCATTTGATCTGAAACGTTGCTCCAATTGCAAAAATTGTGCCATAGCTGCACGTTTTGAATTGCCCAATTTACCGCTCTCTAAATCAAACGGCAATGAAACAATATATTTTCCATCAGCTGATCGTTTTATGTTATTTTTAAAATGTTGTAAACAATATTTTTCTGTCTCTGTATATACGTCGTCTGCTTCATTGGAATATTCAATGCTCCAGAAACGTTGCAACATTTCATCGAGATTTTCTGTTTTAATATTATAACATTTGTTTATTTTGTTTAATCTTACATTTTCTCTTCTTTGTAACGACCCAGAAACAATCCAACCAAAGGTCGTTGATTGCAACAATAAACCAGTGTTTTGTGGTTAAAAAAACACATCAGATCCAAGCAACATATCGATTCTTGTTTTCTCAAAAAATTGTGGATCAGCAAGTGTCAATGATTTAAACTCGGGCAAATTTAAAACAGATTTGTCAATCTCCGTTGTTTCCGCTAACAATGCATTTATCTTGCTTACAACTATAGCAGAAAACGAAAGCGACCATGACGATTCAAACCTTGCTGTTATTTCAACATCAACGAAACCT